CTGTGCCCGCACCACCATGAACAACCATATCCACCATAACCTGACCTACCACGTTGGAGGTACCAGAGTGGCCGGAAGTACTCACCTCCCCTGAGGAACGAGAACTGGAGCCTGAACCAGAAGACGAGCCGGTAGAAGAGCCTGACCCGGAACTCGACTCGGAAGATATTTCCATAGAACAAGCTATATCAAAGGATGAAGCAAAGGAGAGAAGAAGAGTGGGTTTAGTTACCTGACGAACTTCGAAGGACGGATCAAGGAGCCGGAGAATACTTGCAGAAAAACTTGAAGGCAATAACGAGCAAGGCAGGAAGGTGAAATCCCTAATCTACACGGAAGGCCCAATATTTAAAGGGAGGGGCGCCTTACCTCTATCCAATCCGTGCATGATGCGTGGCGAGGAGCGTACCCATGGACACGTGTCACGCGGAGACGGATAGACACGCAATGATTACCTTTTCATCGGAAGTTGAACTGACTTGCATAACCGTCACCTAGAGCCCCGTGAACAGCAGCCGGAAAAGCAACCGTCACATCAGGGACATCGGTAGGGCAGCACATTGAGAGTTTTTCTACTTCCTTATGTCCCGTGCACGCTCGAAACATCAGAATTGGGGGACTTGTGTTGGGTTAATGGCCCAACAAGGGCCAGCCCACAAACCCATGATAGCCTCCTACGAGCGGCCCAACAATGAATGGGGACTATCTGACGAACATCCTCAGAGGGCCCTTGAGATTTCCCTACGAACGTCCTGTTGGAAGCTCAGTAAGGAGGGGATACCTGCCACTGGTTCGGGAGGAGGTCCACCCCCAACAGGGAGACAAGTCCCAGGGGACGTACCTACCCCATGGTCAGCGGGTATCCGGGCCCAAGACTTCCGCAAGGTATATAGGGACGAACGGCCCCACCCTTTGATACGAGGCCAATGATAGCGCAAGGAATAGGCCAAATGTTTGGGGACGAACGACCCCATTTCTTGGCAGAAGAAGAGGCCCCCTGCAGAAGACATGAGCCAAAACCTTGGGGATGAACGTCCTCTCCCCATGGCGGGAAACCAAGATCCTAGCAGGAAGCGCATTTAATGCAGAAGATTTGGTGGTTGGGATCATGCCGCCCACAACCAGCCACGTCGATACACCCAACCACCCATTGACAGTATAAATAGTAGCATTTATTTCACTGTAAAGGGTTCGCAATTTAGCACTCTAGAACCATAACATTTGTATCAGCACGTAGCATAACATTGTACGAACGGCCCTTCGGCTTTGCAATCGTTCCAGTGAATAAACACTCGTTATTGGGCCTTTCCTTGTTTGTTCTTAATCTCACTTGTCCATCACCCACTCGAGACCCTTAGGTTACGTGTTGGGCCTACGGGTTGAAGGGAATAAACCTCAACAGGGTTGAATATTAGTTCCTTGCCAATAATTATGAATACGATGTCGCTAATATATTCTCAACTCCGATTAAGGCAGCGAGAGCGTGGTTTTCGTTACGTGTAAGTCCCGTTACGGCTTACATTCATCTACTGAAAACCCCGTTGAATATCAATACATCACACCCGTATCATATAAGACCGGATATGTTTCTATTATCGGTACTATATATGTTTATCCTTTAATGTTCATAGTTTAGACTTCAACATTAATTGCAAGTATAAACTAAATTTAACATACTTCTATGTTGTATACCATAGTCATAAACAATCAATGTATAAAGGATAGATCACAATTTATTGGTTTAGAACTTTTATCAAACACCTAGTGGGCATAGAAGTTCATCCCTAGCTTTAGCTAAGAATTTAGCCTCTAATGCTCATATTAATCACAATACAATAATAAATGTAATGGAACATGAAATTACAAAGGAAATAATACCTAAACACCAATGATTTCAGAGGATGAACTTCCTTCAAGAACTTGAAGAAAATACCAAGAACAAAATATAAAAGCTATGAATTAATCTATGGAATGGAATGTGTTTGTATGATGAATTGAGGGCTTTATATAGGCTAAAGAATGCCATCTTTTAGTCTATTCGAGCCCAACAATCAGGTATGGAGCAATATTTGATCAAGAAATGAGGAAGATGGAGTTTTCCCATCAAGAATCCTCTTGCACGTTGCTGTGTTTTAGCATAATCTGACCAACCCGGCGCCAGTTTTAGGACTACCCGGCGCCGATTATGTGTTGTGCGCAGCAGGTACCTGGAAAGTTGGGGGACCGGGCGCTGGCCATCAGGCCTACCCGATGCCGGGTAAGCTACTGCCTCGCGCATTTGGTTTGCGCAAATTGATGGATCGGCACCGGCTATAAGGCCATACCGTGACCGGTTATGCCAAAATTTAAATTTTTCGCTTTTTGCTCAGTTTGACACCCGTTGTTGGCCCCGAAGTATAAGTTCTTGGTGTCTTTTCCCCGTTGACTCGCGATTCTTCATTTTTGACGCCTAAGTGCGGTTTAGCTCAAATTGGGATTTTTACATGTTTTATCTTTGAATGTTTGTACAGATAATCATAGTTACCTACATAAAATATAGGTAATTATTGTGCTTATCATCTATTCCTAATCTAGGATGCCGACCGTCGTATTATGCAGCACGAACGGCTCCACAACGCCGTGGTGCCTACTATCGGTCGGGCTCGTCCATTCCTAATCTGGGATGGCGACCGCCACTTTATGCAGCACGAACGGCTGGCTCTTCAGCGTCGTCGTGTCTTCTTCTCGGCTGGATCCGCCCATGCCATTCAGGGTCGGGACCGTCGCCATATGCAGCACGAGCGACTGGCTCTTCAGCGTCATCGTGCCCTCTTCTCGACTGGGTCCGCCCATGCCATTCAGGGTCGGGATCGCCGCCTTATGCAGCACGAACGGCTAGCTCTTCAGCGCTGTCGTGCCTTCTTCTCGGCCGGGGCCGCCCATGCCATTCGGGGTCGGGACCGTTGCTTTATGCAGCACGAGCGGTTGGCTCTTCAGTGCCGTCGTGCCTTCTTCTCGGCCGAGTCCACCCATGCCATTCAGAGTCGGGACCGCCGCCTTATGCAGCACGAGCGGCTGGCTCTTCAGCACCATCGTGCCTTCTTCTCGGCCAGGTCCGCCCATGCCATTCAGGGTCAGGACCGTTGCTTTATGCAGCACGGGCGGCTGGCTCTTCAGCCCATTTCGGTTCGACCAGCCCATTGAGGCTCATTTAGGCCTATTGGCCCATTAGAATCACCCTTACTCCCCTCCCCTTCTATAAATAGGTGACGAGGCTTCCTATTTAGAGGATCTTGACTTCTTTTCTCCTCCCGACTACTGTTACTTCTTATTTTCGTAGGTTAGTTATTCAACCTCCATTAATGGGGCTCAAGCTTGTACTATGTAAATGGTGAGGAGAGTATAATGAGAAAGAACGGGCTTGGACGTTGGCCTAAAAAGTCCCGTGGTTTTCCCCCTTTCCGGGTTTCCACATAAAAATGGAGTGTTATACCAAATTATATCTATATCTAATAGTTTATGTCGGACTTAAACTCAACAGGTACAATTTTCATGAAAGAATACATATTGTGCCACCAAAAGTAATGTGATGATTTAATCTTTTAATGTAAGTATATATTTATCTTCAGTCAAAATTTGACTCACAAATGTAGAATCTAACTTTATGGGAAATATGACTCTCTAGTATATTTAAAAATTTGCTACACTTTCATATTTGGGATGTGCTTAAAGTTTGCTACATTTTTTCAATTTGAAAAGTTTTTCCTCTAAAAATAACCAATGACTCTTACTTTTTCTAAGTTTTATCTTCTCTTTCTACTCTTTACTTTCTCTTTAACTATCTCTATACTATTCAATATCCATATTATTTTCCCATTAAATATTGTGCCAAAACTGAGATCGTTTTAAATATTTAAGAGTATACAAAGTATTCTTATCGACGGTCGTCTCCCTAGCGATTAGGGTTGGAAGTACGCAGTTTTGCGATCTTTCATCGTTTTCTTCGGCTTCGAGGTTCCGTCGGCTTCGGCGATTCCCTTCGCTCCAGTTTCGCGTCTTTCTTGTTTTTAATTTTTGCAAGCTTATTTTTAGTTCGACTTTGGGGGCTTTGAGAAGGAGCCGCGTTCGTCGTTTATTGAGGAGATTTGAACGCCGCAAGACATCGGCTCGGGTTTGTGGAGGGATAGCAGACCAGGGCAACAAATTGCAGCAAGGCAGAGGTAGTGCTTCTAGCGTAAGCAGGCTATTGACGGTTATGGCAGAGATGGAAGAGATGGTCAACAAATGTGATAACATGATTCTCGGGGGTGATGAATGTGATCCGAGTCTGGATGAGGAGGCCGCGGGTGAGGAAGAGGCTCCGAACAGGAGTCTACACGTGAAAGAGAATGAGGAGATGTTGATCCGTCTCCCTCCCGAACCGCCGCCATAAAGGAATTGTGCGACTAGGGTTTGAATGACTATTTCTATTTCTGCTTTACTTTGTTTGTGTTTTTACTTCGAACTACATGTTGTTTTATTTGTCATGTCCGTTTATTTTTTCCAGACTCTTGCAATTAGATTGAGACGATGAGGGGTTTACTCTAAACACGATAGACTCATTTAGACGCATTACAGGATCAACGAGCCGTATTACTTTTTTCTGAATAATTGATTCTAAGTCTGATTCGAGGGTCGATGGTCGGATGTGATTATCTTGTTCATTTCTGAATACTTTTATATCAATTTAACATGCATGTTACAAAAAAGTAAATGCGCAGAGATCGAACACAAGATACCTACCCCCACCACACCCACACTCTGTTTATTACTCCCTCCGTCCCTAAATTATCTTCAAACTTTCATTTTTCGTCCGTTCCAAAATTATCTCCTCTTCCTCCCTTTAGCAAAAAATTTGCGGTTCACAACCATTCTTACACATTCTTACACATTTCTCTCTCCTCTGCACAACTCTCCACCACACAAATCTCACTATCTTAATAAATGTGTCCAGTCGAAAAGGGAGAAAGATTAGGGACGGAGGGAGTGGTTAGCTATGGCATGAGTTAATGGCCAGCTATTAATGAGCTAGCGTGTGTGCTTGTTTAACGCTCATTTGCTTGATTAGTTTTAACTAATCCATCATCATAATCACGAGTCACAAGGTTGGGCGGATAATGGCGGCGGCGGCGGAAGGAGAGAAGGGAGCTGCGGTGTGCGTGACGGGGGCAGGAGGATACGTCGCATCATGGCTGGTCAAGCTTCTTCTCTCCAAGGGCTACACTGTTCACGGCACCGTTCGAGGAGACGCCGCAGGTATTTCCCGGCCACTCTACCTAGCTATAACAATTCTTCGATTCCTTCAATTATTCTAACCGAAACCTAAGCTAATTAAGTAAGAATGAGTAAATTGGCCGTGCCGGGCGGGTGTTTAATGCAATGCTGTGTTGATTAGGAGATGTGGTAAAGTATGGTCACTTGAAGAAGCTGGAAGGAGCTGCATCGTCAATGTCAGGGGAGGAGGGAAAATTGAAGTTGATGAAGGCGGACTTGCTGGACTACGAGTCGCTGGTTGGGGCTGTGGCAGGATGCGCCGCCGTATTCCATGTTGCTTCCCCCGTACCCTTTGGCCTTATCTCCGACATCTCCACCGCTCAGGCAAGCTTGGCTGCTACCATATAACTTCACTCCTTTTTGCTTTTTAACACTACCTACACTTCAGTGTGTAGCTGTGTATACACAAATTATTACTTGTCTCTCACAATTTTTCATAAGTTTTTTATTAGCTCATCTAAAATATAATCATTATACCTCAGCTGCAGCTAGTAGCTCTTTAATTCTAAAACTTGGTTTTTGAATTTTAAAAGAAGGGAAAAATATGCATCTATGACTAAAAGAGGAAGAAATTCCTAAGATATGACTTAATAACCCATTTGTATGCTTCAATGACTATAAATCCATGTTACTTATCCATAGCATAAAAATAGGGAGATCAATTTACCTAAATACCCCATATCCTTCATGCGGGTAGATAGGCTAAGAACAAAAATAGTTTTTTTTTTTAAAAATGGAAACGTGATAGCGAATTTGTAGGCCATGGTTCAAAGATTCATCATTCGCAATGGAGCCAAAGATTCATTATTTTTTGGCTTGAGATTATGATGGAATAAAGCAAAATGGCTCACTAAACTGTCTGCGCTTCTTTGTTATGAAGCCGCAGTCAGTCCATGCAATTTTGGACGCGATTTTTACTATGGGTCATCCGGAAATAGTCTCTCTGTGCTTGTACAGGGGTAAGACTGCGTACATCCGACCCCCTTACCCCACCGTAGGTGGGAGCCTTTGCGGCACTGGGGTAAATGAAAATGAATGAATGAATGGATGGTTCAAAGCATTTAACGCTATGCACAACAAGGTTGAATATATGGATTTTTCGTAGCTAGTCTTAATATACATTTTTTTTTCATTTTCATTTACCCCAGTGCCGCAAAGGCTCCCACCTACGGTGGGGTAAGTAGGCCTGGGATCGGTTCGGTTCCGCTTAAAAATTGATGGAACCGTTTATAATAACGTAACTCTTAAATTCGGTTCGGTTCCAATAAAAAAAATCAAGAACCGTTTGAGAACCGAATGATGTGTAAACGGTTCGGTTCTGGGCTTTTTTTGGTTCCTATTTTTTTCTTTCTATACCTTGAAAATTAACTTTTTAAGTTCTGCTATATAAACAAAAGTAGTTGAATTTACGATTTTTACAAGGCTCACAAAAACATCCAGATTCATACATTCCAAAACATACACATAAGACAAAACATTAGTAATCTCAAACATTAGTAAACAGAACACATAAGACATTAATTAAGTTGAGTTCATAATTCAGTTCACAAGTGAAACATGTAGTTAGCAAAAAGCTTTAGGTTTCCAAGACGTTTCAGTTGCAAATATGGTGTTGCTTTTCCTCCATCATGTTTTCTGCAATTTTGAGGCTTTGGGGGGCTTTGCTGCCTTTTCTGCAGCACTCTTCTCTCTTTTTTCTTTTTCATCATTTTCATGTTCTGCAATGATAAAGATTTATATAACACTTTAGTATTAAGGACAGAAATAAATACGATTTAGAGTTCAGAATAATAAATAACAAAGTAAAGTGTGTGTATCACAAAGTCAGTTACTCAAACATACCTTCTCTACCATTTCAAGCCACAACATTTCCTCGTGTGTCGGAGTGTACTCCAAGCCTTGAATACTATCGGATTTTAGCCAATTTTGGAGGCAAATTAAAGCCTCCACAGTTCTGGGAGTTAATGAACTCCGGTGTGGATCAATCACCCTCTTTCCAGTACTGAAGGAAGATTCAGATGCGACTGTGGAGACTTGAATTGCTAACACATCCTTAGCCACTAATTGCAGATTAGGGTACTTGCTTCCGTTAATCTTCCACCAAGTCAATATCTCAAAGTCAGTCCCTTTAGGAGGCTTTTCTATGGGATCAAGTAGATACCTATCTACTTCACTACCTACACTAATTGTATCACCCTTTTCCAATTCTCTATCCCAATCCTCAAGAAGTTCAGCCATTTTTCCACTTACACCACTCGAATGATAGCTGCTACAATGATTATCAGGAGTTTGTTCTTGCACTTTGCTGCCTTTTTGAGTACCAAATGCTGAAGCGTATGCATCAACTAAACTGGTAAGTAAGTCCTTGACTTCTTCAACTTTTTTTTTCACCATTTTATCACCTAACTTCAGCATCTTTTCGCATATTCTTTGAAAGTTTAACAGCTTATATCTTGGATCCAAGACTAAAGCTACCAACAATAACTGATTGCAATCATCTACTGATCCAAAATATTTTTTATACTTGCTTCTCATTTTGACAGCCATTTGTGATAACAAGTTTTCAGATTCACTTTCAACTTCACTTCCATCTCCTTGTGATGAATGTTGACGCGTAAACAAGTCCTCAATTTCAGACTCAATTGTGATCAGATGATGAAAAGCTTTGGGTGAAGTGGGGCGGTTTGTTGCACTCACACTCACTGTAACATCAAAGAAAATTTTCAGAAAATTTACAAACACAACAGCCTTTACTTAAATCTGTCCTACCAGGATATTCATTGCAAACTTGCTCAATATGCTTCCTAAGACTACTAGTTCCATTGTTAGTAGAATGACAAGCAAGGTGAGTAGGGCAATACTTACATTGTGCTCTCTTTGTATTTCCAACAACGGTTTCTATTCCATTGATGGTCTCAATGATAGGGTGATCTACCTTGATAAAGTGCTGCCAGATTTTAGATCGCTCTGTTGCCACAGTAGTGTTGCTTTTTCTCTTCCTTCTCACTGGAGTAGACTTTGCTTTTTTAGTAGGCTGCACTTTATAGTCTTTCTCAATTGATTCTTCAACTTCAGCACTACCATTTTCACTTCCAGTAGCATGGATGTTATCAACATCTATAGTTGATTCCATGTTAGCCTGCATCACATAGAAAGTATAAATATTCCTTGTTAGTGTGCCCAAGTCATTCTTAATGAACATAGAAAAACTGATTGAGTTTATAAATACCAAGTTTAGTGACTTAAAAGAAATCATGTGAAGAACTTATGAAGTTAACAATGTACAAAGTTGCAAAAATTTAGAGTTGATAAACTGATTTAATAAATCTGTGAACATTGATTTTAATTTTAAATTCAAATACTAGCTTTCTGTTTTCTAAGTCTCCAACATGCATATGAGAAAGGAATAAATCCCTTAAATTACGTATGACAAAGAAAGGAGATTGAGGTCATTGGTCTAGTAAGGGCTCCTGTGTTAGAGCTATATTCTACATGAATAGAGAAGCAAAAGATTAGAAAATCCATCATTTTTCTGTTTTAGACTTTTCATCGAACAACTGGTGTGCAACCTATACTTTATTAGTTCAACTTTCAACTGAAATAAAACTCCTCACCCAACTGACCCAAGGCCTGAGAAGCATAATGAGAGTCATCAAATTCATCACCAATGGCAATATATATACGGTCTATTCCTACCTATTAGGAAGTAAAAGAATGAATGAAGGTTGTAAACATTAACTAAAGAATATTTTTGTTTCTTGACTAATAGTTGAGGGATGTATTTGTTTATTAACTTAAAATCATATGATCCATGACTATATAAAGTATCCCCAATTATCTATCAATAAATATTTACAACTAAAAAATAAAGTAGGAGTTAGAGGAAACCTAAATATCTTGTAGAGGGAGTATGAGCAGTGCCTTAATAGTCCAAAAATCAAAGGATTCGAAAGGGCTTCAAGAGATGAACATGTTAGAAGGGCTTCAGAAGCAGCAGTTCAGAGTTCAGACTAGAAAACTTTAGAGCGAGGTCGTGTAAGTTACTACGTTAGAGGGGGTAATATTCTTTTAGGTTAAAAGACTAGAGCGTAAACTTTAAAGGTTTACAGACCTAATTTATTACTCTGGGCCAGCCCATCACCCTAAATTTTATGCAAGTATATATTATCTTCGGTTCCTAGTATATATTATTTTCTTAAACCGGAACCGAACCGTTTGTAGTATTCTAAGAACCGAACCGAAAAACCTTAATTCTCTATTGTCAGGAACCGAACCGAACCGGTGATTTCGGTTCGGTTCGGGTCGGTTTTCCCGGTTTTCCGGTTCCAAGTCCCAGGCCTAGGGGTAAGGGAGGGTCGGATGTACGCAGTCTTACCCGTGTACTAAAGCACAGAGAGACTGTTTCCGGATGACCCCATAGTGAAAATCCCGTCCAAAAATGCAAGACAATAAATATATGGAAGTTAAGTTTTTCAGACAATAAATTTAGACAGTAAAGTGAAAGTGTTTGTTATATGAGCAGTAAATTTTAGACAGTAAAGTGAAAGTGTTTGTTATGTGTTCAGTATATGAAAAAAAAGGCAAAATATTTTAGATAGTAAAGTGAAAGTGTTTGTTATGTGTGCTGTATATGAAAAATATTATAAGGACAATAATCTGATGTGCTTAGGCAATAAACTAAATGCTTATCGAGAGTACATTGGATGTGTGCAGATATGTTCAAGGCAGTTTTTACTAGCCTGTCGGAGAATTTCATTGCCTTCCTGAGCAAGATCATGCCCTTCATTACGAGTTTGTACATTGAATGTCTTTATGAAGTGAATTACATATTTTAGCACAATAGTTCAATAAATAGAATGTGTGGAATTATATAGAACCTAAATATGGTTGGGCCGTAAATTAAATGTGTTTAGACAGTAAATGAAATTATGTGTAAAATTTTATTTTTCACATTATGTGCAGTTGAGAATCTGGTGGAAAGCCGTTACCATGTAAACCTAAAATTATAAGAAATGAAATTAAATGTGGCGGTTTAAGATATAATACTATGGTAATAAAATTCCTAATTTTTAGGAAGAACAAAATTTATTTTATGTAGGGATTATTCCTTATTATTAGGAGCTCAATTAATTTGGTTATCCTCACTACTCGACATTTCGACAGTTACGATAAAGGAAATAATCCCTTATTATTAGGACGTCAATAATATGATTACATGCATGCATGCCGTGCAAAGCTAATTTTAGGACGAATAACTACTTATTCATTATTGTGTGGAGGACATGAGTGGAATTAAAAATAAAAATAAAAGACACATGCATGACCATATAGATATACAAGCATCACATTAGGAAAAAAACTCGTCAAGTCATATATTGGGAATATCATGTTCGTTTAGTCATAAGAGAGATAATTTTGTGGTAATAAAGAATTATTACCACTTGGGATTTCATGGTAATTAGAAGTAGTGAAGTACTGAAGTACTTATATACGTTGGTTTTAAATTTAATACTATATTTAAAACTTTGACCTACTATATATTTTATTAGAAATTAAAAATTATTTATAATATAAAAATGATACGGAGTATGCAAATGATCTTTGTTAAAAGTACTTCCTTAAAAATATTAGAATTTTTAACTTCCATAATATTATACGAGGACTAATCAAAAATCATGGTTCAAATTTTACGAAATGACAAAGTTTTTTGGGACGGAGATAGTATGTGTGTTTGCTAGTTTTTGGATACTGGGATGAACTTTTTCTACACTGCAAATGGGGTTTTAATCTATTTTACATTGAGGGTATGTTTGGTTTGACGGTTTTCAAGGGGAGGGGATCACAATTTTTTTTTGTATTCTCTTTCTAGTAAAAGAATTAAGGGCTGAGTTTGATGCTTAATAACAACATTATAGATTGAATCTTGTTGGAGATCATGAATGACAACCAGATTTAAATTCTCTAATGTTCTGCTTTTATTACAAATAATGAACAATTCTAGGGTGACGTCATTCCCTGTCAAAATGGCACTTCTACACATTTCTATTTGGCCTATATGCATACATAGAGTGTTTTTTATCATACAATGAATGTATGAATTTTTCGACGCGATTTTCACTACGGGTCATTCGGAAACAGTCTCTCTGTGCTTTAGTACAGGGGTAAGACTGCGTACATCTGATAGAGAGCGGGAAGAGCATGGGGCGGGACTGGGCTTGGGCTCACTTCCGTGGGTCGAGTTAGGGCTGTCGTTATAGTTTAATTATTATTATTAAGTTAATGTTATGTTTTAGTTTGGGCTTATTATTAGTAGAGTAGTTAGTTGAGTTAATTTGGGCCTAATTAGGGTTTAATTAATATGGGCTTGATTAGGGTTTCTTGTAGAAGGCTATTTATACCCCTCGCCAGGGTTCATTCTTATTATCTTGGAATAAAGTTAGAGTTTAGCCTTTTGGCTTTGGGCAACGGTATTTTTATCGTTGATTATCTGGGCAACGGTTTACCCCGTTGATTTCTATTTTTCTGTTACATATCAATTGGTCCGACCTGCCGGATCCCGTCCCGCCGGAATGGCGAGATCAACCAACGAACGTTTATCAGAATTGGAGGCTGAACAGACCCTAATCAATCAAAAACTTGACACGCAAGGACAGAAACTTGATCTGCAGGGACAGAAACTTGACACACAAGGTCAGAAACTCGAAGAGCAGGCCGCCCGGCTTGCGGAAATCGCAGCCTCTCTTGCATCAATCGCGAAGGCCATGGTGCCGCCGCAGAAATCTCACATCGCGACCATCGAGAGCGATTCCTCCGGCCACGTCGCATCTGTCTTCTTTGATGATGGCGGACTGCGCACCGCAGCCACAACGCTACTTCCCTCGTTCGATGGCGAAGACCCAATTGGGTGGTTGGCGAGAGTGGAGCAGCAGTTCGAGCTCAACAGGACCCCACCAGACAGACAAGTTGCAGCGGCTAGGGTTTCTATGGAAGGGGCTTCCCTCTATTGGGTGACGTGGTTAAAGGCGCGCAAACCTGGCATATCTTGGGAGGAATTTAAGCAAGCCTTGGTGGCCAGATTTGATTCCCGATATCAGGGAAACAGGTTTGAACGGCTGTCCGGCGTCAAACAAATTGGGTCGGTGGAGGAATACAATACCTTGTTCGTTCAATTGGCTAGCCAAGTTCCGGGATTGACCGACGATCATTATTTGGGCTACTACATGAGTGGACTTGGGGAAGCAATCCGAAGTTCGCTGCGCTTATTACGGCCAGAAAACCTGGAGACAGCCATGGAATTAGCTCGCGATGTGGAGCATAATCTGTCCGTCCAAAGTGGAGGAAGTGGCAGCCCGAATTATAATTCTGCAGGGGTACGTTCCAGCAACTTTTTAATGGCAAACACGGGTCCTCCTTTGACTGCCAGTGGTGGCAGCTTGCAGGGATCAAGGGGCAGCTTTGCGAAGGATAGTGGACAGCCTCCGGGGACGAAGTCAGGGCTGTCCGGGCAGCCTACGACACGCTCTCAGTTCACTCGTCTTCCGCCAAAGGAGTTCGCAGAATTGAGGGAGAAAGGATTATGCTTTAGGTGTAAGAAACCATTTACACCGGGGCACGACTGTCCCTTTAAGCAGCTGCAGGTAATGATAGCCGAGGAGGAGGAAGAGTTAGACCTCCAACAGCATGAGTACTGTGAAATAACCGGTTAGGAAAGAGTTCAGGAAAGAGAGAAAGGATATTTTCCAGTCTATTCTATGTCTGGGAATTTCAGCTCCCCATCTGTCAGCTTTCAACCTTGAGGACAAGGTTATTTTGAAGTAGGATGGATTGATAGAGAGCGGGAAGAGCATCGGGCGGGACCGGGCTTGGGCTCACTTCCGTGGGCCGAGTTAGGGCTGTCGTTATAGTTTAATTATTATTATTAAGTTAATGTTATGTTTTAGTTTGGGCTTATTATTAGTAGAGTAGTTAGTTGAGTTAATTTGGGCCTAATTAGGGTTTAATTAATATGGGCTTGATTAGGGTTTCTTGTAGAAGGCTATTTATACCCCTCGACAGGGTTCATTCTTATTATATTGGAATAAAGTTAGAGTTTAGCCTTTTGGCTTTGGGCAACGGTATTTTTATCGTTGATTATCTGGGCAACGGTTTACCCCGTTGATTTCTATTTTTCTGTTACATATCAACATCCGACCTCCCCTTACCCCACCGTAGGTGGGAGCCTTTGCGGTACTGGGGTAATGATGATGATGATGATGATGATGAATGAATGTATGAATTTTTCCTTTCTTTTTATCACACAAATAGCTATCTTTTTTATCTTTCTTTTCCTTTTGGTGGTGATATCATGTATCGATTCATGTTAGCCGACCCCAATATCTTTTGGGACTAAGGCTTGGATGTTGTTGTTGTTGTTGTTGTTGTTTCCCTATGAAAACCCTGGCCTCGACTAAGGACAAACACCAATTGCAGGAATAGAAGATCAAAAGTTCTTCCCATGGTTATAGAAACTTTAGTTTTAGCTTGATAGTCTTCATGATCTTTATTAATTATAGAAGATGATGTTTATAGCCCCAGATAGAACAATCATAAATCAAATAGTAGTTGGAAAAGTAGCTCTACCATTCTAAATGTAACTGAACTAGGAATCAGAATAAACAATGTTTATCACATGAATAGTAATAGGAAAGCTAATCATATCACTTGAGAAAGCCCTACCATGTAACAACATATCCTCTTAGTAGGGTGTTACTTGTGCGTGACCTCTTACTACAGAGTTGCTATACCACCCACTTCCACTGCATACTCCTTCACCTATTTATTGGCTACCCCTGAATCTTAATATATGTATAAGGTGGCTCCATACATTGGGAAACACCTTTTAGCTAGGAACATATACACATCTTATCTAACATATATATAGCTCAAATAATCATTAAGTTTGTTCTAGCTGCATTACTTTTTCTCATGAGTAGTAGTTTTTTTGCACACCACATTTTGATGCATGATTCGTGTTATCATTGGTTTTACCTGCCAGTCTTCGATATTTTCTTTTTAATAATCATGTCCAAGATTATTTTGCCTCAATTCTGGGATTAATTACTCAAAGGTTTGTTTGTTGCAGAAGGAACTATTGGGGCCTGCTGTGAAGGGTACATATAATGTACTGAAGGCTTGCTCTGAAATAAATGTGAAGCGCGTAATAATTGTGTCCTCGGTAGCTGCTGTTTATATGAACCCTAAGTGGCCTGTTGATAAAGTGAAGGACGAGTCTTGTTGGTCCGACGATAAATATTGCTCTGAAACAAATGTAATCCACCCTCATCCCCACCCCAAGTAAAAAAAGAATATATTCTTTATGTGATAACCTACTTCACCACTCTGCAATCAATCAAGTTCTGAAGTAGTTGGATTTTTTTGGTTGATCTCTTCTTGATTCAATGTGCAATTCGTAATCTATGCAGAACTGGTATTGTCTTTCGAAAACAATAGCAGAAAGAGATGCCTTTCAGTATGCACAAAAACATGGGCTTGATGTGATTTCTGTTTGCCCATCACTTGTTTTGGGCCCAATGCTACAGCAGACACCTAATTCCAGTAGCTCTGTTCTCATCTCTCTTTTGAAAGGTACCCCAAATGCAAGTTGTCGTACAATACAAGAATTATTTCAATTGAAATTCCATGAAGTTGCATGTTTTTATTAAGGTTGTATAATACAAGAATTTTCTCATTTCAGATGCTTTGTATTTCAGAACAATTCTTGTAGTTATGTATTTATGTGCTTTTTATATAAGTAATTTAGAGACCAATAAGCACATTAACACTTCCTAAAAGGTAAGTTTGTCACTGTTACATTTTCATAAGGAGATCAAGAACTAGATTATAGCTAATTCAATGATTTTACTTTTAATTCTTGATTTCTCTATTTCATTAATCTGGAATATGAATCTACCTGAAAGGTACCTTAACTGCTCCTTTAAGACCCTTCCCGGTTGCTGATTCAAACACTATTTTTCCCATCTCAGCTGGTGGGATCTTTCAACGAATTTAGCGGAGCATGCAAGTTGGTTTTATTTTGTTTGAAAAATGAAAGAAGAAAAAAGAGTGAGGTTGGGAGATAAAGTGATGGGGATGACCAAGGGTGAGGAAGGAAGTGAGAGAGGGGGAAACCAGATGGGTGGTGAGCAAAGCAGATAGTGTCCCGTACTCCCGTGAGTTCAGAATATTTAGTGAGAGAGTGAAGATATTGATTTTAGGTGAAAGGGTATTATAGTCATTGTAGCTATTTGTTATTACTAAAAATAAAAGTGTTGCAATTATTATGGAACTGCCAAAAGAGGTAAGTGTTTGCATTTATTTAAGAATGAAGGAAGTATTACGAGTACGTTTTACCAACTAGTGATTCTTGTTTTGCAGTAGATGGTTATTATTTTATTTATCCAATTGTTCACTGTTTACCACACTAAGCAAGTAGTCATGTTTTGGTTGCTTTTAATATCATGGAATCATCAGAAGGATCTGAAACGGTTCAAAATAGGACACCAGTTGTGGTGGATGTACGCGATGTGGCTGAATCACTGCTGCTGGCCTATGAGAAGCCTGAGGCTGAAGGTAGATACATATGCAACGCTCATACACTAAGTGTTCGGGATATGGTGGGAATGTTGAAGGAAATGTATCCACACTATAAATACCCCAAAAGGTGTGTCCATTCTTATTATCTAATTATTTAGGATTAGCATCATATTTCTGGTCGATTTTAGATTTATTTTTACAGCCCACATAGTCACACAAACATATAGATAGTATATTAAAGAAGAAGTTATCTTATCTACGTGAATTGTTGCAGCTTCTCGGAGCCTGAAGGGGATGGCATAGAGGTGATAGAGCACAAATTGACTTCACAAAGGCTGCAGGGGCTGGGCTGGTCTTTTCGGCCTCTTGAGGAAACTCTTAAAGATTCGGTAGAAAGTTACAGACAAGCTGGCCTCTTGGATTAGCATATACGTGTGTGTGTGTAACTACTGCTATTTGCTGTATGTAATGTGATTTCTTCTTTGCACAAAAGGTCTGATTGGTGAAATGGGTGGTTGTTGAATTGCTGAATGCTTTATCTTAAAGCCCCTTCGATCAAAAGGGTTGTTTGCAGGTCGAGCTAGAGCGGGCAAATCTAGACCCTGATCTAGGGATGGACTCGGTTCGGGCCTTGAACCGGCCGGGCCTCGGTTCAAGGTATGGGAGGCTCGGAACCGGCCCGGGTAACCCCCGGGTCCGGGTCCGGGCCGGGCCTCGGGTATTTGTTTTTGGGCTTTATCTAGTTAACCCCCAACCCTCCCCCTCACCCCCAAACCAACCCTAACCACCTCAAATGGCCCAGCCCAACCCAAAAACTCAAAAAAAATTCAAAAAAAAATTAAAATTGGCCCGGCCCGGGCCCGAAACGGCCGGGCCGATTCACCTTTTGAAGGGCCCGAGCCCGAACCGGCCAACCAACCGGTTCACCGGGCCGGTCCGGGCCCGCACAGTAGCGGGTCGGTCCGGTTCCGGGCCGGTTGGCCCGGCCCGAGTCCACCCCTACCCTGATCCATCCCAAATTCAAAAAATACCTTAATTTTCAAAGTAAAAAATTCTATGTAAATTTTTTTCAAAAATAATTTTTGTACCGGTCCATTATCTTGACTCCACCCTTGACTGTTAGGCTGTGTGTGGTTACACCCTTAGATAGCCCCTCTTGAATAGGGAAAACGTCTGCTCACAAACTTACATAGTGAAACTGATCATTTCATGGCGTATTTTCTGTCCAATGGGAAGTCAATTGTAACAAGCACATCTAGGTGTTGAACATGTGTCAAAGTTAAGTTGAATTTCATTTGCCGTTAATTTGATTTAGGTTTGTGTACTCCCTAATTCTCTTGCTTTAGATTCGTGTACTCCCTCCTCTTCTGTTTCACTTCAAAAGAAGAGTAGTATTGCTCATATAATTTTATCTCAAAATTCCTCCAAGTGATTTCTTCACGGAATTTTCCTTCCACACTTTCCCACCATCTCACAGCTATCTCATAGCTACTCCTTTTGGTAGTCAAGGGACAGTAGTCATCTTTATGTCTCATCCGATTTGCATATCTCTAGCAGCCTCATTCAATTTCTTGATCCAATCAACAGTCTCAGAAAGATCTAATGTCCCATTGAATGACTTGCACACCAAGGCTGTAAGTCTGTAACCTCCTTAAGGTATTGGGAAATTTTCACAAAAGAGACTCCTCCTTGCCTACCCCTATGTGTCACAAGTGGAGAACGAGAAGCTTCGCGGCTTCCCTATCCCGTGATCTCGTCCTGCCTTAGAAAGTACGTCCAATCTGACACCTTCTCTCACGCCTAGCCCGTTCGCGCTGATACCTAGTGATCATCTTGCCCATCTGGTTAAATTCTTCATCACTCATTTCTTTTTCATCATCGCCGGTGAAGAAGTCTCCCTCGTCGTAAGGGGTTTTCTCACGATCCGTAGTCGTAGAGTAAGTGAAGTCATCATCCTCAGTGTGCCTCGATCCGTGCGTAGATTCGTTGTTCTCCGCAGTAGTCGTGTGCGTCTCATGACGCTCCTGACCTCTGCCTCGATCTCGGCCTCAACCCCGACCTCAGCTTGAGCCCCGATCCCTTCCTTGAGAGGTCCGTGATTCCCCCCACCGACATGTCTGGTAGATCCCGGTACATGTCCAAGTGGGGTTGCCCTAGTTGACATGCCATGACCCTCCATTTCTGAAAGAAAGTTCGGAGTGACTAATTTGTAACATCCTGAAAACCGATCTAGCTGAAATCAGGGTTGATTTGATTTTTCAAAAATAGACGGTTAATCCACATTTCAGCGCGCGAATAAAAGATAATATGAATAGTAAAGAATGGTTTATAAGATTGATAAGCTAGAAAAGGGGTTAATTTACTAAAGAATAATTTTCATAACCTCAACTCAAAAAGGTGGAATCAATAACTTCGGACTGGGTGCTCTACACTCCGACCTGACAGAATGACAGAAGAGTAAATCATGATAGGATCTCAAACAGTTTTTGAGTGAGGTGGTTCAGTGATCGGTGCGCAACAGGGAGTCCCCACTTGGATGAAATTCTCACATTGCCGCTGCAAGAATTGAACTTGATGAGAGCTCAACCCAACTACCTCACTCACCCACCCTTAAACTACATGTGCGGTATAAAGTTTTCAGTTATTCAATCCAAAAAAGTTGGAATCGCCCACTCGAGACGCACCCACGCGGCCACACCCTGATTCGACATATTGGAGGAGTGCACACAAGGAGACATCACAATTTTGATGAAACTTTCACACTATGTTAAGAATTGAATCTAAATTCTCAACTCAGGAAAATATCTCAAGAATTGATAACTTACTTGATTCGTAAAGTGTACAAGTTACAAGAGATATAAGGAAATGGTATACAAATGTCATTTCCCTTACACTTCGTATATATTTTTCACAAGTAACCGGCCTGATTCAAGCCGGGCTTTTTTTCAGGATGTTGGGCCCGGAACCGGCCCTGGTTGATACCGGGCCCGGGTCGGGCCTGATTCAATGTAAATTTTTTTTGGCTTTCTAATTAATCCCCGACCCCCTCAAAACTCCCAGCCCTACCCAAGGAAAAGGAAAAAAATTGAAAAAGAAATGGACCGAGCCCGGCCCGAACCACCCGGGTTGGTTCATGAAATATAGGGCCCGAGCCTGGCCCCGCCCAAACCACCCAAACCGTGCTAAAGACAGGAACCGCCACTCCCCAACCGGTTCGGTCTGGGCCCGAACAGTACCGGGCCGGGACGGTTCAGTCCGGTGGAGTCCACCCCTAAATGCATGTCACTATATTGCCTAAATTAGAACACATCATTTCACGTTGCAAATTTAGTTTTCATGCATCTAAAGATTACTCCCTCCGTAACACTCATATCTTCTCAGTTTCCTTTTTTAGTTGTAACATTCATATTTCTTATTTCTAATCTTTCTATCATACCGTCAATAATTTTAAAAATAATACAATATTTATTACAACTACTTTTTTTTGGATTCATCTTTCATTTCAGCACACTATTTCATTATCTTCCCATCATACCTTCAATAATTTATATCTCCTTTCACCGTGCGTAATCTCACTTACTTTTCAAATGGGAAGATATATCTATTAAGGAGGTAGTAATATTTTAACCCCGCCGACCCACGTGTGGTGTTGTCTGCTCATGGTCGATCTTATAAATGATACATTTGTCGGTAAAATAATTGTTGCCTTTTCTATCATTGTTTTCTATTTTGTCT